CAGTCTCAGCCCTCTCAAGTGCTGGGATTATAGGCATATCCCATCATTGTGGTGATATTTAATTTGTGATGAAATGTAGCATTTTATTTGTATAAAGTTTGCCTGAAGATCAGAGGTCACATAGAGAGGTCACACAGCCATAAGCAGAGTCAGGTGGTGGTAGCACACACCCTTAATCCAATCACATGGCAGGCAGAGTCTCTGTGGGGTCAAGGACACAGCCAAGCGTGGTGACATGAGGCTTTAATCCCAGTATCAACCATAGAGACCTGGAAGTCTGTACAGACAGACAGTGACGAGGAAGTCATGTGGCTGGGCTTAGAGCCAATGAGAAGGCAGAACAGAAAGGCAATAAAAACACAAGTCAGACAGGAAGTAGCGCTCTCTGGGGAAGCCACTGCTGGTGGTAAGCTAAAGCTTCTTGTGGCTCTTGCTCTGATCTCTTTGGCTATTTCCTCTGTATTTGGCTCTGTTTCTTATTTACTAAGACTGTTCAGAATTTCATCTACTCATCATGCCAAGCTATGACAGGAATTTTACATATGAAGTGTAATTTAGGGCTGGAGAGATGGTTCAGCTGAAAACACTGGCTGATCCTGCAGAGGACCCGGCTTTGACTCCCAGAACCCAGTCAGGCAGCTCACGACTGCCTGTGACTCCACTACCAGCAGATCTGATGCCCTCTTCTGGCTGCGATGAGCACTGCATGCACATACACAAACCGCCACACAGACACAGGGCACAGACAGGTTTTTGTTGTTGTTTTGTTTAAAAAAAGAACTAGGGCAGTGGCACACCCTTTTAATCCCAGCACCCGTATCTCTGTGAGTTCAAGGCCAGCCTGGTCTATACAGACAGTTCCAGGAGAGCCAAAGCAGCACAGAGAAACCCTGTTTTGGGAAAGAAAAAAACAAAAACAAAAACCCAAACAAACAAAAAACCCAAACCAAAAAATAACCTATAATTTAGTTTTTATAGAAAAATCAGGTGCTCCAGTCATACTCAACTAGAATGTGAAACCCCTACCCCGGGCATTCCCAGGTACCCCAACACTTGGAATGCAGAATTAGGGTAAGACTCTACCTAGAGGTTCCTTATGCGTGTGGGGACCACCTACAAGTCATCTTACCTGGGAGGTTAAGGCACAGAGTCAAAGACCTCAAGCGTCCCTTTAAGGGGGGGGTGGGAAGCCCCAGGAGGCCTCATTCGTCACCTACCATAACCACCCTTACCCAGCCTCTGAGGGCATCTGGACGAAGCCCAGCCTAGCTATGGCCCTAAAGCCTGAGATGAATTCTGGGCCTGCTAAAGTGAATGGACACTAGCCTCATTCCGGGTGCCCCGTGCCAAAGGGCTCACGACAGCCCGACTCCTGAGAATGCCAGGATCACACCTCCTCCCCGCATCTACACCCCTCCCTGCCGAGGCAGCCGCTGGGCACAGAAGGGAGAGGGCCCCTCGTCTCCCCACCCCGATTTCAGCCGCAGACAGATCCTCTGTCTTCTTGAATACTTCTACTCCAGGCCTGGTCTCAAGCCCCACACCCTCATAGCTCTAGTCCTGCCTGGTAAGAACCCTGGTCCCACAGTCAGTTCAAGGCCCTGTCAAGTACAGAATTACTCTATCCTGTTTTCCGAATGAGCAAGACAGAAGTTCTTGCCTCCCATTCTGGAAAATGTCCTTGGCATCTTCGTCCTCCCCCAGCCAGCAGCCTAGCCAGGTCCAGCCTGCTGACCATACACACATAAACATGTATGCACACACGCCACATACACACAGTAGGACTCACTGGGTCCCTGTCATCTATCAGAGGCCCAGCACCCTGACAAGGCCCATCTCAAAAGCCACACAGCCTCTAGGTACTGAAGCTGGACACGGCCACAGGACAGCTCCCCACGGAGAGTGACTGCCATCACCACCTGTAGGGCTCCCATGAGGCTCCTCTGTGAGTGGCCCCATCCCATTCTCAGATGGAGAAAATGAGGTCTACAGGGGGCCGGAAGCTAACACCCTTTGTTCCTATCCCCAGAAGCAACTGGGTTCAGCCTCCATCCCATGCCCCAGCGTGTGGGGGACACTCACCGTCCTCAATGACGACTTTGATGAGTCGGATGGAGCCAGCCCGGGCCTTGGCAAAGAATTCCTTTAGTTCTTCAGTGGCTACAAGCACAAGAAACATAGTTGGTGGTGGTGAGCACGCAGAGTGGATAAGGATGAGTCTGGGTCTGCTGGTGTCCCGTGGGGTCTGATGGCTGGGCTGGGAGGTGGGTTAAATATGGTTCCCCCATGTGACTGGGAACCTGAGACGGCTACTGAACACAAGCTCCCAAATTTAGCTAGCAGGAGTGGCAGGCAGATGGCCTGCTGGCTGGGATCGCTTGGCTGACAGGAAGGGCATGCAGGAATGGGGCCGTCCACTTGAAGAGGGAACAAGTTCTAAGACAAGTCAAGCTGGTCAGAATGAAGGGCGCCCACCTGTCCCCTGACCCCAGGGTGATCCAGCAGTAGATGAACCCCACTCAGCTGGTCAATGTAAGTGGACAGGCTCATTTAGACGTTCAAACACACGCACGCACGCACGCATGCACGCACACACGCACCAGACACAGCCGCAGTGTGTCTACACCATATGTACAGGCAATATAGACAATTTATACAGACCTGGGTGTAAATGACACAGGAATGCATTGGGACTCCAAACCCCCAGCCAGTTTGTACCAAAAGAGGGGCCCACCAGACCCAACATAGCCCTATCAAGGGGCAATAAATCCTCAGCTCCCAGGCAGTAAGGAAGGCTTCCTGGAGGAGGAGCGGTACCCAGAAAGGAGACTCCATCTTGGAAACTGGGCAGCAGACCCAGAGGGTCACTAATACTAAGGACACAGTGCCAAGGGGAGGACCATGGTCAGGGCTAGGGGACCATGAATCCTCTCGGCTCCACTAGCGGAGAGGGAAAACACAGTCCAAGTGTGTAAGGGACCTGCTTGGGTCTCTGGGCGAGTGTGACCTTGGGGCTGTCGGGGGTCAGAAGAATCCCGGCAGGAACACAGCTGGAGAGTTGAGATCAGAGAATATTTATAGGCCTTGGATTGGGCAGCTGATGGGCAGCTTAGGGGCGGGGTAGAGGGGCTTTAAGTAAACAAACTCTCGGGCATGTCCTCAGGTGCTCCCCGTTTACCCTGCAGAGCGACCTTATGCCTGAATCTCAGGTTGTATACCACCACGAAGGTCACTGTGTGGCCAGGGGCCTAACAAAGTCTAAGAAGCCCCCGGGGACAGAGAAGCATGGCTCGGTACTATACACGAGGAGTCACAGACCCACGGGGCGTGCACAGCTAATGACCATCAGTAGATGCTGGAAGCTTCAAGTCTGATCTTTGGGGCCCCAGCTCCCTCTGAGCTGTGTGACCTCTGACCTCTCCGAACCTCAACCTCATCTATAAAACAGAGCGAATTCCCTCAAACTCACAAGTCTGTGGTAAGGAGTACATGGGAGAAGGTGCTAAGGAGTGGGACTTCTGCTAGTCATTCTCTTCTTGATCTGAGGGTGACGGTGTTGGCTCCTCCTGCCTGCCTAGACCTGGCAAGAGAGGCCCAGAAGCTCCCCAGAGGGAGGCGGCCAAGCCCCTTCTATTGTTACCAGAGCAAACTGAAAAGCCAGCAGGGAAAGTGGCATCCTGTCCTACCCCACCCCAGTCACCATCAATAATCTAGAGGCCAGACCTGGGACACCTGAGCCCCTGCCATCAAAGATTCATGCCTCCCTGCCCGCACCGTGCCCACCTCCAACTCCAGCAAGCCTCAGGTTACGGGCCTTCTCGGGCCTCACTCTTGAGGTCACCAGGCCTTCTCCTATGGCCAGGCCGAGGCTGGCACCCGATCCTCCAGGGTGGTCTTTCCCCGCTATCTCCAGCAGGCCCCCCGAGAGTCCAAGGTGCACACCCTCACAGGCAGGGCAGCGGGAAGCTCCCCTAGGCAGGCCTGTCTCTCAGCATGGGGAAGGAAGGGATAGGACAGAGGGTCTGTCGGCAGCGGCGGCAGCGTGTGTGGGTACGAACTTTCTAGCACCTCCTCCCAGTTGGAGGCAGCAGCTCAGACCAGACAAAGAGGAAGGAAGGGGCAGGCCAGGCAGCAGTTTCTCACTGGCAGTTCCCCACTTTGAAGCTGACTCAGGAAACCTGGCCCCCCCATCTCCAGGAGAGGATGGCCCACCTGTTCCCACAGGCTCAGGACAAGCAGGATGGGGATGGGGCGGGGGCAAGCCTCTGAGGGCTATCCATTCACCAAGTAGCCACAACCGCAAGCAAGGATTCAGGCGGTCAGGCGGGTCGATGGTGGCAGCCCTGGGCAGGGGATCATGATGTGACAGGGTGGCTGATGGCCAAACCAACAAGCTGTCTAGGCAAGCAGCCTGGCCTTCCCAACTGGCCAGGGAAGCAGCCCTTCCAAGCCAGTAAGAGATGGGGCCAGTGAGACCAGGTAGGGCCCAAACACCTGGCTCCCAGCTAGTGCTTCCGTTTTAGTCTATCTAAGGAGGAAACTGGGACTCTGGAGCGGAACTGTGGGTGTGACACTCTGGGCTGTAGAAGCTTCCTGTAAATGAGGGTGGAGACAGAAGCTCTCCTAGAAAGCCTGAATCCTGACCCTTTTCTCTGCTTCCAGCTTGAAGTTGGGACTTTTGCAATCCTGGTTGGAGCAGATCAGAGTGGAAAATGGAAGAAGTCAGAGGCCAAGGTCAGATGCACAACTCTCCCCATTCTACTTAAGAAGGGGGGGCTCTATGCCAGCTTTTGTCCAGCCTAGTGCAAGACTTTGGGGGTCCTGGGAGGAGTAAAGGTCAGGATATCCTTTCCACACTTATACACAAGCTCATGTCAGTCATAAGACACCATGCAAGCATCCACGTGCAAGCATCCGCGATAACACACACACACACACACACACACACACACACACACACACACTGAGATGTGCCTGAACTGTGCACACATGCAGGCTCCCACAGATGTGTGCACGCTGTCAGGAAACACTGATGATGTCTGAGATGGTTCATGCCACCTACCGTGTCCAAAACCAGCCACTAATGCATGCACACCAAGGAGCCTGGATAGACATAACCAAGTCGCATATGTGCACACGCAGGACTGTATACAGAGAACATGTGCACACGCGTGTACACTTTTCCAGATGTGCACATCCGGGTACACCCCACCTCCAGAAAAGAACAAAAATACCCAGACGGGTACACACAGGCACATCCGCCCCCAGATGAGTACACAAGATACTTCCACCCTTGCTGTGTGCATTCATGTGCACCCACTCTCTGCTATGTACAGCAGTCTGGACTCCCCAAGATGTGTCCATCCCAGGGACTCGCGGCTGCAAAGGAGAACAGGAATTTCCCTGGAGGGTGCGAGGAAGAGGAGGATGAAGGGACCAAGCGCGCAGACCAGGCGCGGCAGAGCCCTTGGGCCCCCTGTCCGCCCTCCATCCGCCCTCACCATGGATGCCGGTCTGGTGCGCCATGGCTCAGCGTTCGGCTCGCTCGTGCCGTCGGAGCGCTCCGCTTGGTCCTGGCCCGGCTCGACTCGGCTCGCCTGGACCCAGAGCTCCGGAGGATGTGGCGGCGGCGCCCAGCTTCGCGCAGCTTCCCGGGCGGTGCCGCAGGACCCGCCCCCAGCGCGCTCCGCCCCCGGAGGGCGAGGCCGGCAGAGGCGGGCACTAGTGCCGCGCGTGCGCGCAGCGGGCACCGGGGTCCGGATGGCCGTGTGCCGCGCCGCTACCACCACTGTGGCACAGACGGGGCCTCCGGGTGCCCGAGGGGTGTGTGGGCGGGCGCTGGTAGGCCACAATCCAGGAGGCCTGTGGGCGGATGCGCGCTTGGGCGTGGGAGGGACTGTGCGTTTGCCTCCGAGGAGGTTTGAGAGTGGGGGCCGATCCAGGCGTACCCCAGTTTGTGACACGTGAGGGGAGCTCAGTGTAGGCGGGCACGCGCGTGTGTGGTCGCGCTCGTGTGTGTGTGTGTGTGTGTGTGTGTGTGTGTGTGTGTGTGTGAGTGTGTGTGGTCTTGATGCCCAGACTTTTGTTCACAGGTGGAAGCCTAGACTGACCAGTCATCAGGTGCACGGTGAATGTGGTAGCTGGAGCCATACGCTGAGGAAATGAGGGGGTGAATTTTGGATCGAATATGGTAGGAGAGACCCGGGGTGACCCTAGTAGAGTGGTGGGAAGTTTTCCAAAAAGAAGATGCATGTGCTAAGGCCCTGTGGTTGACCGGAGCTTAGTCTGAGGCACTTCCCAATTCCTAGTGAACTTGTCTCCATTTTCAGAGGCCTTTCCTGCTGCTAATGTTAACAGCCATTTTGCCGCTAGTATTCTTATTTTTTTTTTTTCCTTTTGGTTTTCTGACACAAGGTTTCTCTGTATAACTGCCCTGGCCGCCCTGGAACTCGCTCTGTAAACTAGGCTGGCCTGGAACTCACAGAGATCCACCTGCCTTTGCCTCCTGAGTGCTGAGATTAAAGATGTGCACTAACACCGCCCGGCTTAATATTTTAAATAAAGATTTGTTTATTTATTTTATGTATATGAGTGCTCTATCTGTATGTACGACTTTACGCCAGAAGAGGACATTAGATTCCACTAGAGATGGTTGTGAGCCACCATTTGGTTGCTGGGAATTGAACTCAGGACCTCTGGAAGAGCAGCCAGTGCTCTTAACCACTGAGCTGAGCCATCTCTCCAGCCCTGAAGCTGGTTATTTAAAAATAGATAAATGGGACTGGACATATGGCCCAGTGGTTAAGAGCATTTGCTGCTGCTGTTCTTGCATAAGACCCATGTTTGGTTCCCAGCACCCACATGACATTTAACAGCTCAAAACTGTCTGTAACTCCGGTTCCTTCTGGCCTCCTAGGACTAGGCACAGATGTGGTGCACAGAGATACATGCTGGCAAAACACCCAGACACACAAAAAATTTAAAAATGAAATAAATACTTAAAAAAAACCCCAAAATAGATAAATTAATAGTCTGGCACTGGAGAGATGGCTCAGTCATATGCAGGCGTACGAGTTCAGATTCCCAGAGCCAGAAAAAACTTGGCTTTACCCCCTGGCGGGGCAGGGAGACCATGGGGACTTCGAGGAGAGGAGTTCAAGAGACAGATATTCAATACCTACCTGGAGCTCATTTGCTAGCCAGCCCAGCTAAATGGAGAGCTCCAAGTTGAATGAGAGAATTAAAAAAAAAAAAGATAGAGGCAGATGGCCGATGTCCACCACCGGGTTTTACATTACACTGGAACACGCATGTGCACACAGTATATGTATACACCACACACACAAACAAAAAAGAAAACACAAGCAATAACTAGTTAAAAAACATCCTAGACCTGGGGATACGGCTCAGCTAATAGAGCACTTTTCTAACATGTAGGAAGTCCTAGGTTCGATCCCCAGCATTGTATAAACCAGGTGTGGTGGCAAATAATGGGAATGCCAGTACTAAGGAGGCAAAAGCAGGTGGATCTCTGTGAATTCAAGGCTGTCCTGGTACACACAGTGTGTTCCTGACCAGCCAGGGCTACACGCTTAGATTCTGCCTCAAAAACAAACAAACAAATAAATAGAAAAAAAAGGTTCAAGATTAGCCTGGGCTACATAGTGAGTTCCTGGCCAGCCTGGGCCACACGGGACAATGTCAACAAACAATCAAGGAATCAGAGAAAAATAATGTCAAATGAAAACTGGACTGTATTTGGAATTTTACTTATCTGTAGGCAAAAATTTAAAACTTTGATAAGAACTGTGATTGTCAAGGATGGGTAAATAGGCTATGGAAGCTTATGTCAGTGTGATGACTGATCTTGAGTATGAAATTATCTAGGAGCAGAGCCTTTGAGCTTTGTCTGCGAGGGTATTTCCAGAAGAGTTTAATTAGGAAGGAGACCTGCCCTGAATGTGGGCAGCATCCTGTTGGCTGGGGTCTGAATAACTAACTAGGGAAGAGTCGCTGGGTCTGAATAACTAACTAGGCAAGAGTCGCTGGGTCTGAATAACTAACTAGGGAAGAGTCGCCTCTTCCGGGCAGCAGACACTGACCAGCTGCCTCTCATTCCCGATTGCCCTGCTTCGGCCCACCTCCCCCGCATGGACTGAACAAGATCTTCCTCCTTCTGGTAGTTGCTTTTGCAGATACTTTGTTACAGCAAGAATTAAAGAAACTTAGGCAAACGGATCCTATGTATCCCTCTCTTGTTGGAAGCTGGGGTGTGGGGTGTGGGGCTGTAACTTGCTCAGACTTTGCCCCTTACTCATGCCTGGGTCAGGCCTTACCTCCATTAGCTCCTCATGCCTGGGTCAGGCCTTACCTCCATTAGCTCTGCTCCTATGCCCTGAGTGAGGCTGTTATTAGGTGGGCTCTGTAGGTTACCCCCCCCCCCCAAGTTACCAGGGTCCCTAGGTCCCCTCCTCCTTGGGCAGGAGGAAATGCCAGCAGAGGAGGGCTGGCTGACTGAAGGAAGTGAGGCCTACTCAGCACTGACTGGGTTTAGGAGTCAAGGCAAAGGTAGAGAACGCCTCATCCATCCATCCTTGGGCCTTAGAGATTTTAAGTTGGGTTCCTGGAGAAAAGAGGAAGAGAAATCCCTGAGTGGCGGTCTGACTCAGCTGCACCGTCAAACTGCAAATGCTGGGCATCTGATACTTCCCCTCTGTGGGCCTGAGCCCTCCCGAATGAAATGGAAATTGCAGCCTCGCCGGCGGGCACCTGGACTTAGGTGACAGAAAGTGACAAGTCTCTGTTAATGTGCAGACATGAAGAGGCACACTGCTGCTAGCCCCCAACAGTGACAGCTACCTAGAGGTTAACATTCTGAGCCAGAGTGGGTGTAGCACTCGGGAGGCAGAGGGCAGGGGTGCCTAGTTTGAGGCCAGCCTGGTTTACAAAGCAAGTTCTGGGCTACATGGTGAAAGCCTGTCTCAAAACAAAAGAGATGCCAGTGAAATTCTTCTTCCTTTTTTC